ATAAAAACCCCTCTACTGAAAAAGTGTTGCTGAGGGGGTTATTTAACATTTAGAGGAGCATGGGAGAGCAGAGATAATGTTACAGTGTTCATAACCACCTATTTACAACATGTGTGGATCATTAAAATGTCCAGTGTTTCAACAATTATTAATATTTATGTGGTTGTATAATGTTGTTTAATGTATTTACTATTATTCAACCTTTCATTAATCTCTTACATAAGGGTCTTAAAATATAAGCATGTAAACTACTCTTGCAATTAAATCTACATTAATTGACAAAGGAACTATAATTGCATTAAGATGCTGTTTATCATCAAAAGAGGAAGGGGGTGTGATTGTGGGGAACACAAAACCAAAAAAAAAAGCATTCAAAAGAAGAGACCCATCAACAAGAAGGTCTTTTTATAAACAGTGCTCTGTAAAACACCACAAAACAGGCCCTGCCAAAAGCTCTGTTCAGATTAAAACTCTCATTCTTTGCTTTTGGCTGCAAGGCCTCCACAGGTTTTCCACAGCTGGGCTGCCACAGCCTAATAATGATCCATGAGCCAAGACTCCTCCTGCTCTGCTCACCCTTCTGATGCCATCCCCCAATTAGCAGGCAGCAAGAAGTAATCCTTCTCTCTCCATCCTTGTGTAAAAGATGGTCCACAGTAATACAACAATACAACATAGTCTAGGGCATACTCCTGACAAGCCCCTGGAAACAGGTTTGCAACTCAGTAATATTTGTTTGTTGTGCACCAGGATGTAGTTTCCCCTTGCACTTGAGAGAGTTCTCAAAAGGCAATGAAATCAAGGGGGAGAGCAAGTCGGGAACTGCTGGGTTTTAGAATAGTCCAAAGCATACAGATGGGGGGAGCTGTTGTAAATACAAGACCTTATTCTAGTTTCCAAACTGAAAACAATTACACTTGTATCATTGAGCAATACAAAGAAATCAATAGACTCTTTTTTGATGATTCAAAACATCTACACTCAAAAGGCTTAGAGTCATGCTAGATTAATTTCTGGCCCAGGATCCTGGACTGAGTGTTTGTTAGGGTGTATGTATCTTATCTGAGTAATTTTGCATACATCCACCACAATACCAACATAACCGAGGGCTAACAAATAACAGCCTTACCGCTTTCATAATTATTGTAGCTTTTTATAAGAGGGAGAAATGAAGGAAAAATTTCTAAAGGTTTATTTCAGAGCATTCAACACTTTTGGAAAGTACCATAAGAGACCACACAGTCCCTACACATGGTTTCTCTCATCTCTGTGTTTGCTTTTTTCATTTTGGCTTGGGTTTAAGGATTGTAAAACAGAGTAGAGATGCTGAGCAAGAAGGATGATAAAGGACCAGATGGACAATGACCCCTGAGCAAAAGAATCCATGTGGTCCTCCACGATCTCCTCTCCAGCTTCGCCAGATCTTGTGGTTGGGTTGTGTGTGAACTGATAACCTGCTCGTAGTAACTTTATGTAACAGCTGACAGAAAAACAAATAAATAAAATGCTTGTTAAACACTGAAATTATTTAGATAAATGTGGCATAATGTTACTTATTTTGGAACTGTAATGTGTAATAAAGTACTGCTAAATGCTGAAAAACTGGTACGCATGTCATTTATGATCATGGTGATAGGCACCTCAGATAGATGACAGAGAACATACTGTAATCACATATCAAGGCAGCATTGCAAACATCAGGATACCACACAGTGATTAACGTCTAGGGCTTTTTTTGGCTCCATTTAATAGAAGACTTGCCCAGCCTCCAGCTGTTAACATTTGTATGCCACTGACTCAGAATATTAACTGTTTATTAGACAGCTTAAACAGGATGCTCTACACGAATACACTCAGAAGGCAAATGTGTATTAGAAAAAGTCTTTAAATTATGATATCCAGAGATGCTAATAGATATTCTTTGTACTTTACAAGCTACTCTTTTCACTTATGTCACTGTATCTGTTATCCATAATATTGCTTTGCTGATAGTTTAATTATATAAAGTCCAGATTATTTTAATAATAGGTTGGTTACAGAAAAGACAAATGAAATACAGTCATTTCTTTTACTTCTGAATAAAACCTAATGAAACTGGAAAAAAAAATACTTAATTCTAGAACTATGGATAGACACTTCCTTGTGGAAGAGAAATGGGGATCTTAGAATGACAAACATTACCCTTTCTCCTTTCCAGGTACATGACTATTTTTAGAGGTATTTTCAAAATGTTGGTGGTTTGCTGTTTTTTTGGGTTTTTTTTTTTTTTTAAATCTTTTATACGTGTAACACATGTTATTTAAAAAACTGCAGTCTGCTTTTTTGCTGATACACATGCATAGTGAACATAGCAGCTCTTCAGTAGGGCTATCTGACTTTTAGACAATAAGCAACACAAAGAAGGCTAAAAGAATGTACTTTGCACAAAAATGGAAGTCTCTACGATGCAAAAAAAGAGCGAGTGATCTGGACACAGTGGAAGACAGCTTCAGGTGATTAGTAATGAGCAAAAAAAAAAATTTCTTCTGAGATACTGGTTCAAATACAGCCTCATCCGTAATGACAAAGAGACATTACTAGCCCCTCTGTGCAATGAGGTTATCATTGCAGTTCAATTTTCAACAGACAATTATCAACATTACTAAGAAAAACCTGCCATTTCTACAGGCTGCTGCAGAGATGCAAACAGGAGAGGGAATGCAGACTGAAAGCAGACTAATAACTCCCATCGAAAGGTGACTCTTCCACGACTAAAACTCTTTGATAGGGAAGAACGAGGGAACTTGCATTACCACTGCCTATGTTGGATCTGTGCTGTATTTTTTATTAATACAAGACATCTCTGCAGAGTCATTAAACCAGCACCACTCTAATTATGCACCAGCGATTAAGCAGATGTGACACTGAATGAGGAAAATGTTTGATTAACGATCCAGGTGTCTAACTTTGGAAGAATACATTTAGCAGTATGAATTTGGGGACAGTGAAGCTTAGAAGAACAGGACAGCTTTTGATTTCAGTTGTACAGTCTGTCTCTGTAGTGTTACAATCTCCTGAAAGGATCGCTGGCCACCTTGTCAACAGACAACTCAGCACAGCAACGTTTCCCATTGCTCTCTGCCAAACACACACCAACAAACAACAAGTCTTCTGCTCTGTTTTCAGCTTTTTATTCTACCTCCACACAAATAATCATTACTGGAATTCACTTTATTTACCTCTAACACTCTTAGCTTTTGACTGTGTACAAACAGGACCTTTGCAGGAAAAAACACATTTTTATTTGTCTCTGATCCACATATAATTGTTAAATGATTGCTTGAATATTACCCATTTTGGATCAGTTTCCCACATTTCTAATTAAGAGTAGATATCTGGTGTCTAGAGCTCTCTCAGTCTACATGACTTAGGGATGAATCAGCTCCATAAAAAGCCCAGAGAAGAATAACTTTGTGAAAAGAGGCGACGCTCGCAGTGTGAAGCAGCCTGTCCATACTGATCCATCATTACTTGGCAAGACTGGTTTAGCATAATGGCCTGAATAACTTGTCATGCTGGCATTACACTTGACATCACATGAGCCAAATACTTGCAGCCAAAAGTGTATGAATTCATCTGTGAGGAAACTCAAGTCTTGTCATTAAAGTCAAGTTTTATAGCCATGGATGTGCAAGCAGCTGCTTGAATTCAAACTATACCCTACAGGCAATACATAGGCCTGACACAGTTAATCGTCAGCCAGGCAAGCACTCACACCCACACACATGGATGAGAGGGAAAATGCTTCTGCAATACTTTGTGGTTTGTAATTTACAGTAACTCACCTTTTCACCCACTTTTAATTGTGTCTGCCAGCCTTTTTTGGTCTAAGAGGTACCCTGAAGCACATCCCAGCATATGGAAGAGTGCATCTTACAGAAAGGTAGCCTCACACACGCACCATTAAAATACAGTTCTCCCCTCCCTTCTCTTTCATCTTTACACTGACCTAGGAAGTCACCAGCAAGTTCCTTCTCCTGAACTTCTACTCTCTTTCTAGTTTGATGAGTTAAAAGAAAAGGTCATCAGGGGCTTTATGCTTTAAAAGGAGAAATCTTTATCAGCAAAGGCCAGGAACAGACCAGGAATAAAATCAGACTTTGCCAAAGACTGCTGATGAAAATGAGTCATCCTTTTGGGTCTGCAGGTGCAAAAGATTTTACTAAATTAAAAATACAGGGATTAACAATATCAGCCAGTGGTCTGTATGGAGTATTTATGAGGAAAGATTGACAAGCCACGTGTTTATGCTGCAAAACCCTGATAAATGAGAATTACAGAGTAGGATATATGTGGTATCACTGAGAATAACAGCACCAAGAAAAGCAAAAGAAAATGTAGACTAAGGGATTAAAGCATTTCTTCGCAATTACTCCTAGTCAGAAACATATGCAAACTACTCATTATATACTATTTACTGGTCAAGAGGAATAATCCCCAATCATATAGTTTGCCATTAAAGCACAGAGGAACAAGTAAACTGGAGATTAACAGGACTAGGAAATACATTTTTCTTTGCATATTTAATTGCTTAAAGGAAAATCTTCATATGATTTTTTAACATTTTTCCCCTTTTCCAGTAGTGAAAAGCTCTCAACATTTCGAGTAGCATTCCTACATTTTATGAGATCTCTTATTATAATAGACACCAGGTAGATTCACTAGCACATATGCCAGGCATGATCCTTCAAATGGCCTGAAAAAGGTATGGACTACAGCCCACAACATATCCTTCAACATCTTGGTTATTTGCACATAGGTTGAATAAAACAACAAATAACTCCAGCCAGAAATCATGTACTGACAGAGGAATGGATTATACTTTCCATTTATACATAATCTAGTCTAGCCTATAAATGTATTTTCTGTAACCTTTAAATATTATACTCTCACACTCCTGTTGCAGGAAAAGTATTAGCAGACTTCCACTAAGAAATAAGTAAATAATATATATTACTTACAAAAGTTGTATTTTCCAATAATAATGTAGTTGTATTTGTTTCTACATTCAGTTCAACAACATGTCCATTCCTATTTTTATACACCACTGCTGTATCTGCAACAACAAAGGTATTAGCAGTTAGCAAATACATTGAGTATTTATTACTACATCTGTAGAGAAAACCTGCATATTAAAGTTATTAGAATATCTTTATTACAATAAGCAAACAAGATTGAGAGAATTGCACTTATAATATTTATTTTGTTGATTTGTCTCATGAGCTTCAAAAATACCAGTTTATGCCCTATAGCACATTCACCTCACTCAAGAATATTATTTGATTTAAATGGAAATATTTTCTCTGTAAAAAACATATCCAATGGGATTGTTGTTAATGAAGTGACATCTTAAGCATAAAACCTAGGTATCACTGTCACTCTGACCCTTTAAGGTCCAACCATATTCACCATGAGAAGAGTCATATACCAAAGTAAAGTTCTGCAAAGAAAAACTTTTGCTGGACACCATATTCACATATCTCCTTATAAGTGATTCTAACAAAACTTCTACACTATTCTATATCTCTGGTAGCTAGATTGACAAAGATATGTACTATATCTTAAGTCAGTCCATGTCCTGTGTGATTAGTGCTGGGCCACAGAATAGCAAATTGTCACATAAGGTGAATGTTAGCAAAGGATGGTTAAAACTAAACAGGTCCATTTTTAGAATACATAAAACACTGTGGGGTGAAGTGTCATAATTTTTTTCCTTCCACCACTTTCTTGATATATAAGTTTACATAAGAAAAGTAATCAAATACACCTGAACTAAAGGAAAAAAAAAAAAAACAAAACAACAAAATAAATTGTGGCTCCTGTGAAAAAGGCTTTGTACCTGTTTGTATTAATACCTACAAAATTACCAAGAAATACACAATAACAACATAAGCCTTGATTTAAAAACAAACAAAAAAAAATTATTACAAATTTCTCAGTATTTCTACTAAGAGATTGACTAGATTGAGTGCTGATTCTTTCATGTTATTTATAACCCATGCAAGAGATTTATATTTAATCAAATAAAACTATTTTGTTATAAAAATGTAGACAGCATAAGGAAAGTTCTAAATTAAGCCTAAAGGAAACACAAAAGAACTTTACTAATCCTCAGTAACGTCTGAGAAATTCATTACAGATCCCTGAATTTTATGAAGTGGGAAGTAAACATGACTGGAGAAAAAGGTTATGCTATCATAAAAATATGCTTCATTTATTCAGAAAAATGAAGCTGTATTTTAATTGACTCCACAGAAACTCTAGATATACGGTGTTAGTGAATATCCTCTGGTATGTTCTGTAAAATTAATGAAGCCTCATTTGAAGAGCTTAAAAAGCTATTTTAGGTTCATGGATGGGAAGTGGGGTGGGATTGATGGAGTTTAGGATAGTATTATTGGAGTTTAGGAAGGAAAATTAGATTGTGAAGTGTGGAATTAATAGCAACTTCTTATAAAGAAAAACATCCATTTTGAATAAAAAGAAGTAACACTTTGTAGAAAGTTATTTTGGTTTCATGTTACTAGCTACTACAGAACATTAAAATATTTTCAACTTCCTTTTAGGTTTTTTTGCATGTATTCTTTTAGGTAACCTAGCACTGAAAATCCCCAATGATGTTGTATCATGTCACTAAGCAATATTACAGAAAAAATAAAGTTGTCTGGCCAAAGAGTTGTCCCCAGTTCTGAGTAAACCATAATGTGAGAAATGGCACATATAACCCCAAGACATTGAACATCTGTCAACAACTACCCTTGTTCATTCCCACTGCTTGAACAGTGCTCTGAACAATGCATTTTTGGTCCATAGGTGAGCCTAATATGCTACCCAAACCCAAACAACAGTATCAGACTGTAACTCCTTCTCAGTTATCTACTTTTCTACATCCCACGTACATTTGGCCAACAGGATTTATAGCACCATACCTCATTAACTAATTCTACTAAGACCATTTCACCTGAATAAAGAACTTTCCCTTAAAATTGCTAACAGGACCACAAGTTAAATATACAGTCCTGGGGGTCTTCTTGCAAGTCATATACACTGTGTGAAACTGCATTTGGAATAGCAAATACAGTGAATGACACAAATTAAAGCCTTTGTTCTCAAGCTAGAAGAAAATTTATTCAAATGATCAGAACGGAAAACTGAGAGTCAGACCTCTTCAAAAGGCAGACTTTACTGGACAGTAATTATACCTCTCACTGAACTCAGGCTTTCATCTCTATCCTGGATTCAGTAGTTAACTCCTCAAGTGCATAAATTAAATTAACACTTGCAAAATACATTGAGATTTTCACATAAAAGATCCTATCAAAATACCATGCAAGCATTGAGAATAAATACAGTCTTCAAAAGTAATCATATTAATTTATATGGAAGTTTCATTCCAATCAATAGCTTGTCAGGCTGGATAATGCGATAGTTGATGGTCACACAACATAATGATGATTTTTTTCATTGATAGCTCAAATGTAAGAACCACGAACATACATTTCGCTTGAAATTTTTGTTACCGAGAGTCAAAAAGTCTACAGAAGAAAATAATACCCAGTCCTTAACATTGGCCATTTACACAACTGGTTGATTTATGTTATTATCTTTGTGTCTTCATCACAAAGTTCAGGGTTTCCTGACACTGCACAAAGCTATTCAGAGGAATTCCTACTTCAAATACATTTTCATTTAACTTAAAACAAAGAGTAGCATCATGTAAAAACCTCTTGGCTGGGCACAAATTGCAGCACTGAAGAGCCACATTATCCATCTAAGGACATCAATAAAATAGAAAACATTCCGTCTTGAGTAAAGGAGAACGTGAGGAAGCCTCTTTAAAAACATGTGTTTTTAAATCACCAGCCCTGAATGATGTATACAAACCAGTCTTTAAAACAACTCATTGAAAATTTCCTACTTGTAATAGTTCTCAAATTTCTGAAAACTTTGGAAGCTCCAGAGCATCAGATGACCGCTAAGTTTCTTCTATCCTGCTAAAAGGTGAAGACAGGCAACCAAGGGTTACCCTGACATCTGTCCCAAATAAAACGGTGGCAAAATAAATCAGGGTTCTTCCCACAAAATACTAAAATACAAAAATATAAAATACAAAAATATACAAAAATACAAAATACAAAATACAAAAATAGCAATATAATTAATACCGATAGCATTTTACAGAACATAGATCTTGTTAAACAAAGTTTGACAGGGTTATGTTTGATAGAGATAACTATGCTGAAACTGTATATTGGGTTTATTTCAAGGTAATTGATTTATTTTATGACATCATGATTCCAAAGCTTACATTATACAGAATTAACAGGAAACACACTAGGAGGATTAAAAATAGTATCACCAAGAAAAATAAAAATGAAGACAGAGTACTTGTATGAAGTGATCAGTGTCACTTGGTTAACTGGTCATTATTGTAAACAGGAGACTGGAATTGAAGAACAGTGATGGAAAGAAAAGCTTCTGGGCTTATACAGATAAGTACTGCAGTATGTGGTCTCAATGCATGATCATGGCAAAAAGAGTTGATGCAATTCTTCAGCATAAATGGATCACAGGTAAAAAAGCCCTAGGGTGATCTTGCCTCTGCTCACACCACTGGTGAGATTGACACTATTGTAAAATGTCCACTTCCTGGAATGCATGCTGTGAGAATGGTAAATGAGTGAAGAGGAATGCTAAGAAATTGTCAGCATAACTCTGGATCAGAAGGCAAACATAAAAATGCAAGGTTGGAATTACTACAGTTATTCAGATTAATAAAGAGAAAGTTTAAAGACATCTAGGTCATATATATATATATAGTTAGGGAAAAGTTGATGACAGGTATGGAGGCTGGGATATGTGGAAGACTTCAGCAAAGGAGATGACAGAATCAGCAGCCCTGGGATGTTTTTTCTTAAGGATATGCTTTAGATCTTGATGTCAAGAATTAGTTTAGTCTGAATGTGGGTAAAAATATAAAGGGTTGAGTTTGGAAGGCTGTTGTGATCTCTTCTGGCCTGTAATCTGTGGATATAACACCCTCTATTGATTTTCTCATCCCATTCTTCAATGAATGTTTGGGAATAAAGGATTGTCTGCATAATATAACTCAAGTTTGTGGTCTGTGATAAGACAATTTTAATACAAATCTCAAGCCTTGCTTTTTTTTTTTTTTTTTTTTTTTATTTGACTGTCTGTGGTCTCAAGGGATATTTATTTTTCCTTCTGATGCATAATTTGTCTCATGTTTGTGCCTTCTACTCCACTGTCCTACAAACTATCAAATACTTATCTCAGCTGCAGATGGGATACTGGGGTTGGTTAGTGCTGCAGCCTCATTCAGAGAATCCGCATGGATGTATGCCTGATATGATGCTCAAAGCCACAGCATGCAAATTCCACAAACCTCTGAAGAGAATTTTTTCCCCAGCAGACAAAATGGACTACTGCTCCTTCTACCCTCCCCTGCCTTACCCTGCAGCAGGTGGTTTAGTTTACCTGCTGAGATGGTTCTGGTACAGCTTACCAAATTGATTCACTCGACTGAAGGAGTTTCAACAAATAGTGCCATAAATATCGTTCTTGTGTTGCATATTTAAGGTTTTTCATCAGAACCACAGTGTCTATTTTAATTAAACTCACTGGGTTTGTTAGAAGACAAACTTAATGTCTGTCTGAGTAAGATAACAAACTTGGCGATTCAGACAAACAGAAAAAGCTATAATAGGCTCAGCTGTTAGTATAGATAACTATCTTTGGGAAGAATTTATTCCACCTTGATTTTGATCTTATTTCCAAAGCTGACTCTGAAGGAGGTTTCCTAGTGGACATACAGCTCTGTAGACCAAACTTGCTGTTGAACAGGTTCTCTACAACTTATATGGCTTTCACAAATAATGCAACATTAAATAAAATATCACATGAAAGCAAACTCTAAAACCAAAATTCTTCTGTGATTATCACAGTATAATTTTACCTGAGTCAGCAACATAAATATATCTTCTTACAGAATTGTATTAGTTGTAGAACCAACAATAATTTATTTTATCATTGTGA